ACCTACCGGGCTCATGCTTCACTTCTGGAGGCTATCTAGTCAGGGGCTGGCCTTTTATAGCTACGCACTTGGGTGAGCGGAAGGTGAAAGGCGTCTCCTGCGGCTGGTGCCGCGGGGAGCGCTCGCCAAAGGCGCGATGTGGCCGGTCACTGGTGGTTTTCTTTCGGGCTTCCCTTTTATGAAGGTTTTTTTAGCCCAAGGGTACCCTTTCTCCAACTAACATGGCACCTGTGGGAGGGTACCTGGAAGATCAATTTGCTCTCCAAGGGGCCCTTGGTCACAAGCACCATGTTAGTGGAAAGGGTAGCAGATCTTGGCTTCAGGTGGCACTGAAAGGCGCCCCCACTGACTTGGCCTCCAGGCGCAGCTTCCCTTGCCCGAGCGCAGCCCCGGAGGCGAAGGCCAGGGAGGGGCTCAGACCAAGCAAGCCGCCGGAGAGCAAGCGGCGCAAGATGGCCCTGAAATCTAACCCGACTCTGGGAGTTGGGGACAAGGTTAGACTTGCGGTTTCGCCAGTCAGCTGATCGGTCTGCGCGTTTGCGGGCTGAGATTGCCTGGCAAGATGCGCCCGTGTCGAGTATCGTGGGTTTCTGTATGGATCTTTGTTGCACAGCGCCTTGGAGTCATTCACAGGCAGGTCGCCTATCGAGGGCCAGCGGCGCGCTGAGTCCATGTCGACTAGTCAGCACAGATTTGCAGCAATGGGCATGTTGCCATCGCATGCCGTGGCCATTTTGGACTCCAGGCTTCGGCTTTACCCGGCGGGCATGATGTCAAAGTCGTAAATTCCGGCAATGAAACCCTTACTCCTGCCCTTGCTATTGGTGACGCGCGACGCCACATTAATTGCGAGGTGTGCGTACTATTGAGCTATGTTCCAGCCATTCCTTGAGGCGGTGTGTGTGTGTGTATGCCACAAGTGCAATGGCTTGGGTCGTCATCACTGGCGGCGGCTCCGGCATCGGGCGAGGCGGGGGGTGAGGGTGGCTCGCAGCCAACGGGCTGCCGCGGTTTGGAGCTGGTCAGCGCCGCCAAGACCAATTCAACCAAGAGTGCTATTGCTTTTGCGTGGCCTAGCATTGGCCTAGCTACAATTTTATGTGACGTACGGGCGTAAATCAAGCAGTTAGACCATGAGCAGGCTCTGTTTTCTTGTCGACTCTCTCTCTCTCCGCACGCGCCGCGGGGGCCCCGTGAAATCACGGGCCAGGCCTGGTGCACCACTTCAGCCTGCAGGGCTCTGTGCTGACCTGCGGGCGGCGTGCGGAACCTTTGGCGGAGACCCAGCGGACGGCGCCGCGGCCGGAGGCCGGGTCCAAGCCGAAAGTGAAGAAAGCCGGTGTTTTTGCTTTGTGGCGGTGTGATGCGGTGTGGGTGGATCTTTGGACTTGAACATGTTGGTTGAAGCTTTGGAGTTTCCGAACTGGGCCCGCAAAAAGTTGTTATATATATCTATATATATATATATTTGCAGAGGGGGCGCTACAGCAACCAAGTTTAGGGTTGACTCGTGGGCCAGTAAGAGCAGGAGCCATATATTCTACCACTTGAATGAAGGATTCTTGTTTTCGGGAGGCATGCTATGATGTTATGCCATCAGGTGGCATGCATGTTTCACCAGAACGCTGATGTTTGTCGCACGCAGCGTTTTTGACAACAGAAGGCAAGGGCTTCGGCCCCGGCTATTTTCCGAAGGTGTGAGCACGCAGTCATTGCCGTTTTGACTTGGTTTGGGCCCTCGACAATGTTGCCTTGTGGCATGTCGTCTTTCTTCCGCGTTGCCATTCACCGCTGCCTTTGCGTGGAAAGCACTTTGAGTAGTGCGGAGATGCGTGCACCAGGAAGCAATATGTTTGTGGAGTTTCTGCTGGGGAGGCTGTAACCGTGGTGGCTTGCGACATCGCAACTCCAGAGGGCAGAGAGAGGCGGGGTAAGCAAAGGCTGCGTTTACTCTCAGTCAGCAACATGCTCCAGCGGAATGAGCCAATAAATCGAAACGACGCGTGAAATGCAGACAGAGCAAGCGAGCCGTTGACACATGCCAACATTTTGGGTGAAACCCACTTCGAGACTCCGATTCAAAGGCACGCTGCAAGCTGTCCTCTCCACCGGCTGACGTAAACTAGTGAGTGTCAGCCTGGGAATTTGAGAGGGTTTGCTTGAGATGTGCTGACATGACGGCTTCGTGGGCAGGCTGTTGCAAGCTCTACCAGAGGCAGGGGAGCTGAGTTCTGCATGTTCACCTGTATTCCTAGAGGCGACATTGATATGGGTGTGTCTCAATAATCCGGGCCCCCTTTGAAATTGCAGCTTCCCAACCGCCAAAGCAACCCATTTCGCCAAAAGGGTACCCTCACAAAAAAGTGCCCCATTTGACCGTACCGTTTTCGTGTGGTCTAAAGGGAAACCAAAGGTAACGCCCGCCAGACGAATTTTCAGCCCGGGCTCTGAGAATCGATCCGAGGTTCCGGTGCGGCTCTTGGTGCAGAACGCCGCCATCGGGGACCCTGCAGACTTCGCGGCGCTGGACGTGGCGCACTTCGAGGCGCAGCGCAGCTCGTTTCTTCACGGTTTCTTCGGCAAGTTGTTCGGTCTCTTCATTTTTGTTGTTTGTCTTTCTTGTTGTTGTTTGTTTGGTTCTTTTTATTTTTAGTAGGTGACTGCAAACAGCAAAGTTTGTTGCAAGCATACCAAGGGTTGTGAAGATTAAATGAGCTTCGCCTTGTTTGCTCCTCAATTAAGCGAGCAGGCAGGACTCAAACACTTGGGCTATGAACCTCTAGCCCTCAAGTGGTGGTTTGGGGGTGTGAACTTCAGTTTCGTTTGAAGCTAAATGAGTTATAATCCAAGCGCGGGGGTTCTATACATGGTTCTGGGTAGGCCATGCTAGTTCCAGGTTTTGATTTTGACAAAGGATGCCGAACAGGGAGCCCACAATGGATTCGGCGGTCCTTGTGGTTTCCCTTTTAGTCAGCCTTGGAAGCAGGTACCCTCAAAGACACCACCCAGTTGAATGAAAAATACAGTGCCCAAAGTGAGGAGATCATTTGGCAGAGCTGGAGGTAGACAGATGGGGACGGGTGGACTTCCCGTTGATCTCCAAGCATCGAAGGCCACATCGTTTGTGTTGACTGAAACGCCCTTTGCATTGAACCGTTGAACCGTTGAACTGTGCAATGTCTCGGTTTGGCTCATCGATGTTCAACTTGTTTTTTGTATCATCTTTCCGGGGTCGGGGATTCCTTGCAGGAAGCCCTTCGCGTCAACGTGGTGGCTCCTCTCGCGCTCACGCAGGCCATTGTCCAGCGCCCTGCGCCCAAGTAGGGAGCAGTGATTTCTGGGGTCTATTTTGGAAGAGGCGCTTTGGGCGGTTGAGCCTTCACTGCCAAGGGGAATTGATGCGGCAGCTTCCAATGGCGGTTCCAAACCGATTGCGCTGGCCAGGCGGTGTCGCAGTCAACAGGATAAAAGGCTCACGCTCAGGTTCCTCGAAACGAAGCCACCCAGCCTTCACGCACCATGCATACTGATGCCTAACCAGTGCGGATGGTGGGAGTTCTTACGCTACCCCATTATTTTTGGCATGTCCATAGAATATGTGGGTGCCCTGAAGCGTGGTAGTAAGGACCCGGGCCCGCAAAAACTGAAACAATTTTCTAAGGGCTTCGGGCTTAGCCAAAGGCTCATGAGTCTGTCTCAAACTCGGTGAATTTTTTTGTGATGGTTTCAATAAGGGAAACCAATTCGCAAACTCCAAGAACCACAATTCTTTTGAGGGGGTCCCTATTTTCTTTCGAATTTTCAACCCCGCCTGGCCCGCGCCGGGCCAGCGGCGACCGTAGCAGCGACGCCAGGCGCTGCTGCCGAAGCTCAAAGAGGCCAAGGGCCGGGTGCTGCACCTGGGGACCTCCGTGGCGCACAACCCGCAGCAGGGCACCGCCACGTGTCCCCACGCGTTGGCGCGGGGCCGGGGGGTGGGGGGGGGGGGGGTGGGCGGGGCCGGGGAGGAGGCAAACCAAAAATGGCCCAAGTGGGATGGCGTCAAAGGAAGCCACCACATGGGTGTTTCTTTGAGGGGAAGCCAGCGAAAACCGAAGCCATGTTTAGGGGGCCCAGAAACCCTGTTGCCCATGGATCCACGCACTTCTTAAATATGAGATAATGTCTTTTTTGAGTTGGTACGTACCCCCTGGTTGGTTGGTTGGTCTTAAAGGGGGGTTCCACAAGGAACTCCAGCATAGTTGTTGTGTTTGTTTGTTTCTTATTTGGCGGGTTCACTTTTTGGTTGGGGGGGAGGGGTCCCTATAGAACAAGATGCAACCGCATTGCAGGTATGGCATCACCAAGGCCGCGTTCCATCGATTGTACCAGCAGCTCAATGCCGAAGACCTGGGCATCGCCGTGGGATCTTTGAGCCCAGGCCCAGCTGCGCCACGAAATTCCGGGAAACCAACTAGCAGGGATAGAGGGGGAACCAGGGATACGGGAGGATTCCCCCGTTTGATGCACCTTGGCTAAATTTGATATGGGAAATGGTTTTCCAAACCCGCTCCCTCCGTATCCCCGCTGATTCGTTTGTCCAAGAAATCCTTTCGGAGCCTTCCTTTCAAACCGTGTTAACACTGCAGCGGCCAAACTGCAACCATGATAAACTTGACCCACTCCATTCCACACATTTCCACACCGCATCTCGCCGGGCTCCCTGGAATTTGCCGGTCTCCTACACCTGATTGTATGAGAAGTCCCTTCCGCACACTCCAAACCTGGCCTGATAAGGAAAGTCAGCACGACCTGCTTGACAATCACAAATGCTGTGGACCGCAAGTTCGCGTGTCAGGCCCAAATCTTTCAAAAGCAGTCAGCGCACAAATTTAAAGTGGCCGCACGGAAGGGGTCCTACAAAACCGCGTCGAAAGCTGAGCAAAGAGGCAAAGCAACGGGTCCCCGACTCTGCTTTCAGGCCTGGTGGACACAGAGGGGGTGCGTAGCCACGTGGACAAGGCGCGGGATGCGGGGCCAATGGCGTAGCCTGCGTGCGTGCAGCCGTAGCTTCTGGCGAGTGACCCACGAAAAGCTGCCAAGGCGTTCGGAAAATCATTTCAAGACCAGCAGATCCTGTGAAGTCCTGAGCCCGGCCCATGGCACAGCTGAAGATTCCGGGTGCAAAAGTTGGACCTGCGTCATTTGACGCAGTGAGAGTCAACACGCGCAAGCATTAGGGAGACTCCGCATTTTTTCAAAGCCTAAGCAGGACAGGAATGGCGGGTGCATTTCTTAGTGACGAGATTGGCTTGAGCCATGGCTTTTCCTTTGAGCCAGGCACGGAGCCTGAGCTTGCCGCACGTGGCCTTCTTCGACCAGGCCTTCGAGAAGGCGCGACCCGCTGCCAAGCACGGGGTCGGACTCGCCCATGCCGGTTGCCCTGTTGCTCACAAAGCTTGCGTGCGGAGGCAAGACATGTAGCTGCGGGTGGGGAGAAGTTTCTTTCAGCTTGCGCAGCCATGATCCCTTTCGAAGAGAGTCGGGTAGCGCATGTGAGGATGTCGCGTTCTGTTGAGGGTGTTGGCGCTGCATTTCACGCATCGGAAACAGCTCCTATCCTGCCACGGCCCGTGCTTTGAACATTTCTCGCTTCTTGATGGTCCTTGAGGTTTTTTGAGGATCCTTGAGGTTACTTGAATGTATTCAGGGTTTCTGGAAGTTTCCCGAGGTTCTTCAAGTTTCTCGAGGTTCTTCCAGGTTCTTTTCGTTTGTTTGAGGATGGTTCCTTGCACCTTCTTGAAGTTCCTTGATCTTCCTTGACATTCCCTTGAGTTTCCTTGAATTTCCTTGGTTCCTGGAAGTTTATTGGGGTTCTTTGAGGTCCCTTGGATTTTTCTTGATGTTCCTTTCTTCCTTCCCATGGGTTCCTTCCCAGTCTGCAGGGTTGGACCACGGAGATGTCGCAGCTGCTGCGCCTGGTGGAGGAGTTGCTGGCCATGGACGCGGACCACTTCGCGGCCAAGGAGTGGCGCTTCTCCGAGTGGCGCAAGGCACGAATTCGTGTCAGGGGCCGTTGAGGGCTGTGGGGAGGTCTGGAGGGGGGGGGGGGGATTTGCGTCAGGGGCTGTAGGCTTGTGTGTGTTTTTTTTGAGGGACTTTGCACTTGTTGTTTGGGTTGGTTTTTGAAGGGGAGTCAAGGGTAAACGGCCTGATTTTGGGGGATCCCCCGATTTTGAAGGCGACTAACTTGTCCATTTTTTTGGCTGGGCTGAAAGGGAAAGGATGAGAAGCGAAAAGAGGAGAACCATCATTCTGAGGGCCCTCCATGTTCACAACGTCATTGGGATTTGGCGAGGGGAGCTTACTTCGATCAGTTGCGTCACCCTGAGGCTGAGTCAGATAGCTCTTTGTGACGTGCCGCGCAGTGAGCCTCTCGAATCTCGGAACCTCGCGCCCTGCGCCGCGCGCATCGCCGGCCGGGGAGACCTTCGTTTCGCGCTGCAAAGACGGCGCGTATGGAAAAGGCGTCGTTGAAAGGAAAAAGCTTGCGGGGGCTCACGGAATGGGGGGACTGACCCCCATTAAACCATCCCACTGGTCGTTTCCTTTAAGGGGACCAATTCCTGGGCTCATTCCCTCGTTCCCTGAGGAGCACGGAAAGAGGCGATGCTTGATTGAAGACTGTGCTACCGATTTTCTGGCCCACTGAGGTCTGGCCAGTGGTGGAACTCATTCATTGACCGTGGCTGATGGAGGCACGATAGTGACCAATGATTTTGTCCTCAGTATGGAACGTACGAGCCTGTTACTCCCTTTCAGATGGCGGGTGTGCATCTCAGCCACGGAAATGAAGTGAGGATTGCAAATTGCAAGCGCGGCCAGCAGTTGTTTGTCTTGTACCGTTAGGGTTCAAACACTGACTTACATCTATAAAGGGTTTGGCTGTTCAGAAACTGGTCCCCCAGATTTGCAACTAGGGCCAAGTTCCAAGCTTGTCCCAAACTCGAGGGCAAGCTACCCACAGCCTAAGTGTTGCCCCCACCTCTCCTGCAATCTGAATACTGCCGCTCTCGTCCACTTGGACATGTGTCAGAAAGGGAGACCCAAACAATGGGTGGTGCCCCGTTGGTTTCCCAGTGGGCACAATGGATCAGCCAGCTCGCTTGGGTTGGTCAGGCTGGGATCCAGTGATGCTCTTTTCCCCGGGCAAGCCAAGACAAAAAGGCGAGTTGAGTTGTCTTCAAGGGATCCTGAAGTAGTGTTCCGAGGCTCGCGGTTTCATTACTGTTCAGTCGAAATGGTCTCAGAATGCAGGTGTTCAATGATGCCTTTGGCAGTCGGCTGCTGCTTTGGACTTCTGTTGGTTCGCTTTGGCTCTTGCCGACTGCGGGTAGGATGGCCAGGATGGCCAGTACTCTCAAAGTGCCGTGGTGTTGCTTGATCCCAGTTGGGACAGGCACCACCGCCGCTTTTCCAGGATTTAAACAGTTACGATGTCCACAGGACATGCCCAGAGACTTGCGCCTGCCCCTGACATCCGCTGAGTCTGGAAAATAAATTCTCAGGACGCCCTGGCGGCTTTTGCGACTCCACTGGCATGTCTTTTCTGATCAGGGGCGGGCTTTCGCGCGCGGCGCGGGGCGAAAGGACCTTCAAGAAGCGCTTGGGGTCGACCCGGTCCTGACAGTGCGAGGCTTCTCGCGAAAAAGAAAAAGGAGACCAAAAGAGAGAGAGAGAGAGAGAGAGAGAGAGAGAGAGAGAGAGAGAGAGAGAGAGATTGTTCGAATAGCGCTTACACTTGCAAGCCACATTTTCGTAGCTCGATGTGCGAGCAGCTTAGTTGTCAGTTAGCGTGCTCGTATTTGTCACCGGTGTGTGCAGCCCATTCTGAGCGGCCGATCGTTGCAGTCCGGAAAGGTGCAAACCAAAAATTGATATTAGCTTGGTGGGGATTGGTGAAATTGGCCAGCCTTTTTGGCAACTAGGCGACAGCTGGATTGCGTGCCTCGGCTTCAGCTCAAACATACACCATCCTCCAATTAGAATGTAGGTCCGCTGCTTGGAAGCGCGCTCGCCGCGCCTCGTTTGCATCAAGCTGCGGAATCGCGCCCAAAACGCCAGCGGGCGGGCCCTTTGGTTCTTGGCATACTTGAGCTCGGTCGATGACGTTTGCTGCGGCTCAGTGAGGTAGGCTTGGAGTGTATAATCTTCTGCAGCCATGTGTATCCGCGTGCTCCAGACATGCATCAACGTAGGGACATGAACATATATATATATATATATATATGTGTGTGTGTGTCATATCTATATATATATATATAAATATATATGCATAATCGACATATATATATATGTGTGTGTGTGTATGAGTGTGTGTATCTATTTGTACCAGATGCCCTTGAGTTACAATACGGCATGTCGGTCAGGGTCATGAGCGAGCTCCTGGGCATGTCGCTGGTGGTGCTGGCCTCCAGCTGCTGCCTGGCGGATTTGTTTTTCCCGGCGAAGTGCGAAGCGGCGGGAGATTCCCCGCCCGTGTGGCCGGATGTCCAACCAGGGCATGTGTTTTTATGCGTTTGTTTGTTTGTTTGTGTGTGTGTGTGTGTTTTTTTTTGGGGGGAGGGATGGTGACCGGTGCGTTTGAAGCGGCATGAAGGCATGGACGAGTGGCATCTTTAAGGAACCTTGTTTGGTGGAAGTGGCTGGAACTCCGATCCGATTTTAAAGGGTTGGTCCTCTATGTATCCCAGCTTGCCCACCAATCAGTTGCTAAACAGTTGGCCGTAGTTCAAGATTGGCCAATTGGAGCGCTGCGCACTCACTTGTGCGCAGAAAAATGTCCAGGTGCAACGAGGCTTCACGGGCAATGGGAATTGGCATGTGACACGCAAGGTGGCGTGGTGGCTCACGCGAGCCATGGCTGAAATACTGAGGGACGCACATTTCAGAGAATGATTGCATGGCCATATCTGGATCTGAGTACTTCAGAGAATACAGGCAGGTTTCTTCTGCGCAATCCGAAGGCCTTTGCCCTACAGAAATGTCGCACTTGCCCAGTGACCCTTGGGGGGAAGAGGCCCTTGTGGTTACAAATCAAAGGGGGGTCCACTCAATGGCAAGGAGGAAGTCAGGCTCTCGCATGCTTCTTTCGGGGGGAATCATTTTTGGTTGGCGTTAAAGGGGGAACCAGCCGGGCCCCATTTTGAGTCAGGCCCTCATATTGCTTCCTTGCTGGTTTTCCCTCACGGCGTTTCCGCGCTGAGGCTTATCAAGCTGCTGAGAGGGGTGCCTATCGTCAACGTGCCCCGGCGGGCGACCAGAATCGGGTGGGTTCCATGCGAATCAGCTTCCCACCAAAAGATACCTTCCCCCCTTCCCCCCCCTTCCCCCCTTGCGCTGACGCAAACTGAGGTGATGATGGGCCGCTTCGCTCTGGAGTCTCTGGTGCTAGGGCTCCTCCTGCTCGCCTGGCGCTGCCAGGGTCAGGCCATCCGGCGATGCGATCCGAGCATTTGGTTGGGAAAAACATTGTACATTTTTGCTTGTTGTGGTTTTTCGCGGTTGGAATCCAAATCCACTTAGCTGCTAAAATTTGGATTCTTGCTCCCCTTCCAACGTCGACCGAGCCAAAGCGGAGACTCGTCGCTCAAACCAGAGAAGCCAAGCCACCCAGCTCCACAAGTCTAAACCTCGAAGAGAGAAGCCGAGTAAGCTTGCCGGGATTGGGCATCTCGGGATGGAAAGGGGCACAAGGCCCCAGAAAAAGGCGGAAAGACCACCCGCCGGACGTCAAGAAACTTGAGCATGGCGCATGGGGAGAGGTGGCCACGGCTGGACTGAGATTGTTGTTTCCCCTTTTCATGCTGCTTTTGGTCGAACACCTTTGGGCAAGTGAGCACATTTAAGCATGTGGAAAGAAGGTTAACACACCCAGCTTCCTTTGGGACGGTTGGTGGACTTCAGGTGCGTTGGTGGCAGCTCACTGGAGTGAGAACTTCCCATCGCCTTTTGCATGTTTTGCTACAGCAGCCTTTGGAGGCAGTCAGGTTCGCCTGAATTTGGTGGCTTGGATTGGCGGTTTGGATGTGGATTTGAATCCCTCCGAGTCCTTGTAGAGGGCACATGGGACCACCCAAGAAGGTAGGAAGCTGAAGCTGGGTTGCAAATGTGGAGATGGCCAGCCCCCTGAGCCCATGAGGAGCTTCAGCTTTGGCCAAAGGGCCAAAGGCGCCTTGGTGTAAGAAGTTGCTTTTTTGCGGGTGCACGATTGACTTTGCCGTATTTCTGTGAGGGCATGACTCCTTAGTTTTGGAACCGCAGAAACCGCCTTGTGAAGCGTTCGGTACTCGCAATTCATGTCAACCAGTTTTTGTTTTCAATACCGCTCGCAGGGTACTTCCTTGGCTAGTTGGTTAGCTGCATGCCGCCGCGCGGGCTTGGTTTCCAGCTGCATGTCCATTGGCCATTTGGCCATATCTGGCCGGAATGAATCTCGGCCGCGGCTTGGCGCCTGTCGCTGAGGCACCTCTACGTGCTGAAGTCGCTGTGTTTCGTGGGTGCCCTGTGGTCTGGCTGGCGGAGCATGCAGGAGCTGCCGCTGGGCATCGCCACAGGCCGAGCGAAAAAAAACGCATCTCAGGGTTAGGACGGTTAGGCCTTGGAGGCCGAAGGGCCTGACGGGCCCAAGGGCCCAAGCGAAAGACACTTAAGACTTGGCGTATAGGTTCTCCGATGTCATGAGGTCAGCGAGTGTTTCGTCAGGCATCATCTACTGCTACCCGGTGCTTGCCGGGCTGTGCCTCGGCAGTTGTGGGCAAGGGCGCTTGCATCATGACGTTCATGGTCCTGGGCCTTGTGCAATCTGTGCGCGTGTTGAACTGCACCCGGATACGAAAGGCACCCGGTTGGAGAGGTGCAGAATTGGGGTGGGGAGGCGCTGACATCCAAAGCAAAAGCTCCGAATACGCAGTGAATCACTTCTCGTTGCACTGAGGTTCGCTAGCATCTTCTTGCAGGAGCGCTTGACTTGGACGCTTGGAAGGAACACAGGGGAAAAACCAGCCAATGAAAGGCGTGAGATCCTTTGAGAGGGAGTTCGTCTGAGGAAAGTTTTAGTCATTGAGCTTGCTGTCCAAAGCTTCGTTGGTGCTCAAGGAGTATTCGTGTGCGGGCGTGTGGGCAATGTGGACCTGTGGCGGTCCTGCTAAAGCTGCCCGCAACCCTCCACGCGGGTTGTAGAGGCGACCCGGGGATCTTCGGGTGCGGGGCAGCCGGGCGCTGCGTGGGTTTGCCACTCAACTGGGTGGAGCTGCTTGTGGCGTCGAAGCCGCGCCACAAGTAGCACTGGGATCTCAGCAAAGCTTCCAGTGGCAAGCTCCGGCTGTGAGGCAAGCAGGAGGAGGAGAGCGAGGGCAGATGGCTAGAAGTGCTTGCGAACATAATGCTGAATCCGACCCGGTTGCATGGCGCAGCGGTTGCATGCTGCTCCGACACCGGACGGACGAAGTCACGTCACATTCAAGGATAGAAGCCTTTCAACCTGATGCGCATGACGTGCTGCCCGCATCCTGGCCCACTTGGCTCGTTTTTCGAAATTCGCAGTTGGGCTGGCCAAGGACATTTGCTGTTCAAGCAGCTGCGCCTTGGTGGCAATCACTACGCATGTAGCCCCTGCCAAGTGAGGGGGTGTTGACGAACTCGGTATTGTGTTGTGCCTGCAAAGGGCGTTCCCAAGCAAAGGTTTCTTGTGTCCAGGTTTGCCTGCTGGGCGCGGCGATGATCCTGCCCAGGCCTTTTGAGGCTGGGGTAGACATCTGTAGTTTCTTCCGGGGGCTCAAAGCTCTGGATGCAGCACCCGCCTGGTGCTCGCAGGCTGATGTCGAGGGGCAGCGCTGCCGACCCGTGTTGCAGTTGTCAGAGCGGGGGGTGGCTGATGGGCCTGCCTTATTGAACACGAAGCGTGGAAGTGCGCAGTTCCTGGTTTCAGGAAGAAGGTGTTACGCAAAATGGCTCCGTGCGGCTTCCATGTTTGGGAAGGCGCGCTGTTGGATAAGAGATGCTAAGTGTTTTGGATCCTGAGAACCTTGCAGCCGTCTTGCTGAAATGATCCATGTAGGCTGGCAACTGGGAGGGAAAGCATCCCCTTCCCGCTTCTCCCTCGCAAAGCTAGCAAGTTGCCACACCGACTCGGCATGGAGCCAGGCAAAGAGGGACTTGAGCAAAACGAGGGCCTTTTTCTCACGCGTCGGCGCCAGCAACGTCTTGAAGGGCGTCCTGGCGGCCGGGCTGAGTGCTTTGTTGCACGCGGTGCCTTGGCAGGCAGTTTGTGCAGCTGCTTTGGCAGAATGGGGACCCTTTTTGGTGACCCCAGCGGTTTCTTTCCGAATAAAACCAAGGGGCACAGCATTGGCGGACGGGCGGTGTTTTGGCCACATCGCTGTCAAGCGGTTGGCTCGCTGTCTTCCCCGGCGCTGTCCCTTTTTGCGCCGGCCAAGGTCGCCCCCTGCATCGTGCGCTCCATCGAGGACGGTAGGAAGTTGGCAGATCCACAAGAGCCGTGTCAACTTGCCAACACGAGCTCCAGGTCAGGTTTTGGACATTCCGACCGTAAACCGAAGATCCCTCAAGCTGAAAGCTGTGCTTCGTGACAGGATGTCAAGCCATGGTCCCTGCAGCTTTGCCAAGCCTCATTCGCCTTAATCGTCGGTGCCTTATTAACTGCCAGAAGTAGCAAAAGGTGCTCGCAGATGCAGCAAATTTGAATGCTAAGTTCAGTTCATTATGCAGATGAACGTGGAATCCAACAATCCATGGTTCCTGGAGGAAACTCATTTATTGGGACCCCCCAAAGGGCAGGGAGAAGCCATGCAATCACAGCAACAGGGAAGTTTTGCCAGGTTTCGGTGCCATTGTGCGCCACTCTGGCGCGGCCAGTGCCTGAGGCGCAAAAAAAAACACCCGGGCTTGCTACCCAACGGCCGCGTTAAGAGTCTAGAGACAGGTGCTCAGGAACAAAGCGAGTGAGGGCGAGTGAATCAGGTGGCTCACAGAGACTCACGAATGAACGGTGGGGAGAATCTACTTCCAAGCTCAACGCTTGCCCAACAGCAACACGGGTTCTAGGATGTTCCAGGGAGTTCCAGGCGGTTCCCCCAAGCTCCGGAGGGGCAAACTTATTACCGCCCCCTGGCCTAGAGATAGAAACCCAAGAGCTGATTGCTGTTTGGAGTTAGAAAAAAGGAAAGACCCTCTCCATAAAAACTGCACAAAAGGTTCATCCAGGCAATCCTGGCACATCCTATCTGTAACCTGCAGTCACTGCTCCTCTTCTGAGAGGCTGCTTGAGTTGTTTCCTTTGGTATTTGGGTGGCACCCTCTGGCCACAAACCTTACGCTCCACGTGCATCAGGTGCGGATTTCCAAACCATGGCGCCGTGGCCGAGCTTGCTGTTCATTGCCCTTGCCAGGATTGGACACCTGAGATGCTGGGCTACTTGTTGGCGGCCACGCTGGCGGGGCTCAGTTGCAGCTTGATGGCCTTTGGGCTGCAACGGGAGCCGCGGGAGCCCCGCGGGAGCCCCGCGGGCCGCGCGGGATGCTCGTAAATGGGGCCTCGCGGGCTTTTGGGTGGGCGGAGTCCGGCAGTTTGGCGCAGGACCCGGCAGAATGCAACGAGACTTCTCGAGCCCCGGAAAATTGAAGTCCACGTCCGGCGGTTTCGGGGATGACGCGCCGAGAACGTGTCGCTTCACGCCCTTGTCGGGCCCTGCAAAATAAAATGAACACCTGGTGATTGTGGCAGCTGATTGTTCTTGGTGCGCAGCATGTTAGTGCAGCAAGAAGGTCAAGAAGGCCCTGCTCCGTTGTAGCCAATGGTTCATGCCAGTAAGTTTACCTAGCGAATTCACTCGTAGGCCTGGTCCAAGGCTTGAAGCCAGGAAATCGTGAAATCTGCACGCTCGGTGCAACGTTGTTTCCAGTGTTCCGGGCAACCGCCTTCTTTGCACTGCATCCACGTAGGTTCCATGGCATTCGGTCTGAAGCCTTTTGTCTGGAACTGGGGTCCAGCAGAACCTGTGATGGAACAGCTGCCAAGACACTTAGAGGAGATACTGAAGACGTTGTCATGAACTTGGTGGTGCGGTGTGTCCATGTTATGCTTCATGCCAGGTATGCAATCAGAAGCAACTACGCATTGCGACGCCTTCGCCATGTGTTAGACAGTTTGGTTTGGTATGTCTTATTTGATGGCGCTAGTACCGTTTTTGGATGTTTTACAGAAAAACCAACAGGAAACCCTGCATTTCAGAGGGTTTCCCGATTTGGAGACATGCCCGCGTTCATATATGTGTCGCCCGGAGAGGTGACAAAGGGCACGCTCTTGACCTACTGGGAGATTCCCTTGTCCTTCTCTGTGCAGGCGCGGTGACACTGTGCCGCAAGAATGCACAGCGCCGTGGGGGTTCCTGAGTCGCATTGCCATTTGTCTGTTGGTTGCATGAGGGCAGGTCGCTTTGCGCGCGAGAATGGCCGATTCAATTCACCGGCGGACGTGAATTCATATGGGTGTGTCCATTTTGGAATTCCGGTTTTTTGAGCCACAGCCATATATGGTTGGACCTCCTCCTGGCCGTGCCAGGTGTACTACTTTCGCCAGGCTCGGGCTTATGGCTGAGCCCTTGACCTGATCAAGTCAGTCTCGCACGGAGCGGGCAGGCTCGTCAAAACACGTGCGCCGGGTCGAAGGATCAATTTTTCAGACTTGAACAATTTCAGACTTTCTCTCTTTAGTCCTCGTGGTTTGAGGCACCAGTTCAGAAGCACGCTAAACGGCTCAAGTCAGCTTTAGAGCAGAGAACGTCTGCGTGGTTTTTGTTGCCGTTCGCAGGGGCCACGTGTTCAAACAGCAGGAGATGTCCGAAATCCGCAGGTGCCGCAGGTGCGGCAGTTGCTGGGAGCCTGCCACTTGCCGGGCGCACCCGGAGCAAAACTTCGCGTGGAAGGAAGGCCGCTTTGGGCCAATCAGGGCTTTCTCCCAACTTCAGGAGCCAAACAAAAACACGGGAACCAACCAAAAAGCGGAACATTGGCCCCAGGAAAAAAAGCATTGCGCATCAGTTTGGAAGCTCCCTTCAAGGAAGTGCCGATTTCGCGAGCGGAATTCAGTGCTCCACTCGCCGGCTTGAGGCCTCCGCTTTGGCCTGGAGCTTTCCAAGGCGGGACGAGCCGGGGGGCGAGCCTGAGCTATCGGCCCCAGATCATGGCGGTGTTCTTGTTTGGGCCCGGCCCCCAAAAAAAAAAAAAAAGCTCGCAATCTTGAGAAGGCCCCCAAGTGCATTTGACATGCTTTTCTGAGGAAGCACCTTTCAGTGGGTTCAATTTTCATTTGCGAGTGGCTTCGAATGGCCCCAAGGCGGTAAATTCGGGCTGGCTAGGTGGAAATGTTGTGAAAACGTTGGACACAGCTGTTCGCTTTTACATCCGCTGTTTGGCTCATCGGCGTTCTTGCGAAACCGCTTGGATTGGGCGGGAAAGAAAGGGGAAGACCGATTTGTTGAGCCAAGGGCCTGGCTTCTAGCAACAAATTTGCTCATAGAAATGGACTGCGCGCCGCCAGCAAAAGGTTGGGCTGTAGATCTACTTTCCTTTAGCCCTCGCAGCTGTTTTACGGGCTTGGGTGAAACTCTTCGCGCAGGCAAAGGACGAGGAGGCTGCGGAGGCCGGCCCAGCCCCATCGCCTCATCGGGAGGGCCAGGGGTGACGCCAGCGAAAATAACATGAAATGCAGTGAAGGTGAATGGAGACACGACCCAACAGGGCGATGCATGACTCTGCGCTTGGATAAGCTTGTCCTATTTGTATTCGTTTGTTTGAGGCTGACACTTGGTTGATTAGTAGGATGGGTCTGTCGTGGTGGGCAGGCCTGAAACGGGTAGGATATAGCATCCCCAGAATCACCCGCATCATGTGGGTTAGTTTGGAATTTGTGCCTCCTTGCGGTTTACCAGCGTTACGTTTCGCCCAGGATGAGGAAGGCGCCAAAATTTGTTGCACCCCGAACACATGCTCTTCCCTACACGGGGCAGGGGAACAGAAAACAACTCTAGGTGTGAGGGCATGACCAGGTTCTTTCCCTTCGTTTGCTTGGTGACAGGCCTCAGGTCAAGTCCTGCCTTTGTTCCAGGCGTTTTCCTTAAGCTTGCTTAGCTGGATGTCCTTGGCTTTTTTTGTTTGGCTTCCCACTTGTATAGCTCCCTGTGCCGCCCCAAGATTCCTGCGTTGCTTTGCATTGTGAGTCCAGCAGGGGCTGCCAGGAAAAAACGCCGATGCTGCGGAAGTGAGTGCTCTTGACTCACTGGGCATGGCATTCTTCGGCTTCCGGGAATTGCCGCTGGGAAATTGTATGGTCACAAATTGAAGCTGACATTAAGTTGATGCTTTGGCCTACAATACCTCAGGATGGCAGCTTGAAATTGACATTCTTTGATTGAGCTGGTTTTGTCAGGAGGTTTTGCAGTTTCGGAGCCTAATGGGACGAAGCTTAGCCGCCCAGATTGAGCCGTCCAGCGCACGGCCAGTTTGTTTTTCCCCGTACTGGTACAACCAGCGCAGCTGGTTTTGTCAGATACGTATGGGAGTCAGAGCTCCAGAGTTGGGGGAAGCGTTTTCTGACCTTCCACAGAAACATGTTATTTCTGCCACCTGTTGCAAGGGAACATGTCCGAGATTCTTTGGGAACCTGCCATACTTCGCCAAACCGGCGTCGAGAAAAATCAAAAAAAAAGCGGCCGCCAATCCGGGCATCCAGAAAATGGTCCGGAGGTCAAGAGGAAACAGCTCGTGTTCAGCTGGGCTTGGACTCACAGGAAGAAGGCGCATTTTTGAGCAATGGGACAATCTCAGCAAATCGACTTGTGACAAGTGGAGCCTCCCAGAACCCAGGCCAATCAAGTGCTGACATTAGATGCCAATCATTCAGCGCTTTGGTCTGCCCAAAGGCGCTGCATTGCACCCTTTTGGCCTGGAACGTTGCTTCCTTATTGCTGCCGGTGCGACCACAGATCTCAATCACCATGTTAGTATGCTGCTTTGGTGCTGGTGATGCCGCGTTGATTCTCGGCCCACATTACCTCAGGATGGCAGCTTGAATTTGGCATTCTTTGATTGAGCTTGAGTTGTCAGGAGGTTGATAAAGTATCAAGGAAACATGCCTTACGAGAGCACAGATCTCGTCCAACGATCTGAGTGTTGTTTTCCCTAGCTTCTGCCAGCAAACAGTACTGTCATTGGTTTGCAGCAGTCAGGAAATTCCAACAAGCTGCACAAGGCTTTGAGGCCCCTCTTGAGGAGCTTTCGGCGAGTTGAAGCCCGCCACCTCAGCACTTCCCATCTCGGCTGTGAGCATCTCCTCCTTCGGGTTCAGCTTTCACCGGCAACGTGGCTTACCAATGCGCACAACGGCTGCCAGTGGAGGATGTCAATGATCGAGATTTCTTCAAGCTGGGATCTTCCTTTCTGTGGAGTTCTACGAAAGCACTCCTTGGCTGGGGAAGTAAGGACTGGTTTGCAATGTATTATTATCATTATTATCTTTGAATTTGTTTACTATACAAACATTTATGTATACATAGCATATATTTGTCTTTATGTGGTTGTCCATCCTTCATTTACTAACTATAAATATTATTGCATTCTAAACATGCGATCATGATCTCCAATGCCGAATCGAACAGATTTTGTGGAGTCTCAGGACGGGTGCTATGAGGCAGACGTTACAGTGATTTGATGGCCGCTGGCAGATGCTGGCAGGGTGCCTTTGCTCGAGAAATCGGAGTGTTCAAAACTGGCCAGTGATGCTGTGAACATGATTTGCTTATCAGTGTGCCGCCGAGTAGGCCTGGAGCCTGGATGGCCCAAGCAGCGAAGTGCGTGCGAGTTTTTCAGGGCTCCTTCAAAGATACATGTTGCCCATTTGAAACATGGCTTTTCCTTTCCCACCAAAATAGAGGGAAACCACCATTTACAAGGCACTGTTCAGGTGTATAATGTAAGGATCCCTGTTTTTGTTGTGAGCATGGGCTTTGAGATAAGTGTGCAGCCACTGGCCGATCCTGGGCTAAGTGGCAACCGCTTCGAGTATTCAACTTGGCTGCGTACGACAGCTTGGCACTGGCGTGCGTTTGCATGCATAGGCGCAAGGGCAAATGTTTCAGCATGGCATTCACTGTCATTCGGGCCCAAAGTAGCAAAACAATTTTGACGCAGGCCCTCAACACAACAGCTCGCCGTTCAGGTGTGTGCAAAGTTTCTTGGAGAACGGTGTCCGAAATGTGAACAGTGTGTGGCTGTTTGAGATGTTCTGGCTTGCTCCATGGTCCTTGTGACTCGCAGCCTGGCTCGTGTCATTCTGGAGGGACCAGGCTTAGCGCGAAAGGCTTCAGCGCCCTCTTCACCAAGCCACCGCGCGGCGCTTCAAGAACAAGTCCGGTAAACTCTCGCCGAGCCATGGAAGGCTTCGGGTAAGCCTTAAGCACATGAATCCCCGCTAGACCCCCGGGTTCCCTGATATGCCCCTCTTGTTCCTTTTGGACCAAGCAACGTTGAAGCTTAAAGTTAGTCATTAAATACATGGCCTGTGGTTCCACCATTTGCCCCATTTCATCCATCAACTGCCCAGAACGTGCTCATGGCATGTCGGGCCTTCGATGCCACAGCTCAGAGGAGGCAAGCGGTTGTGCCCGAAAATGATTTCGAGCCGGTTTCTTACACGCAGCCCCTTGAAGCAGTGCTCATTTCGGGCATGGGGTTCAGATCCGGAAAAGGGTCAGGGAGGTACAGAGGCTGCATTATGCTGCATTCGCCTGCCCGAGAGATGCAACAAGAGTTATTCAGGCCTGGTTTTGCAGCGAAAGGCATGGACGTTTGCATCGAAACGCCGCATTTGGCAGGTCTCAAAGGGCAATCTTTGAACCCGGAAAGCAAGAATTTGCGTTGACCGCCCTTCTGCCCAAAAAGCTGCAGCATCCCTGGCCAGGGCGAGCTTGTCAAGCGCCTCGGGTCGCATCAGTTCATGGGTCGGGCATGGGGATGGCCCACAACAAGCGCAGAAATTTGGAGAGCACCCCCTGGAAGGGCTGAGAGCATCTGCCAGTTTTTGCGCCTTGCAGAAGGATAAATGGACGAATTCTTGCACGTTGAAACCATTGGAGCTCATTTGTTGTTGGCATGTACCGTTCTATTGGAGCCTGTGCCACCCACTGGGCTTCGCACTTAAGCAGGGTGTGATGGAAACCAACGTCTTCCGAAAGTCCTTTGGCTCGCCAGGAAGGTCAGTGAGAGTGGCTTCCATCCGGATCTTGTTTCCAGCCTGCGCGTCCTGCCCAAGGCCGGGGATGTAGTTCATGGACGCGTGGACGTGCCTCTAAAATGCGTGATTTTTGCCTGCACAGCTAGGTCGCAAGAGAGTCACTTCGCTGCCTTTGAAGCCTTTGGGTTGGTTGCTGCGAAAATTGCAGCATAGCACAGGACGCCTAGGTTTGACACCCCCACCTGTGATTGCGGGCCAGGGCTGTGAGGGTCTGCTCCTTCCTTGTCAGGCCCAGCCGGAGGAGGGTTGCTGCAGTTTGCGGAGCCTGCGGAGCTGCTTTGCAGGTGGGATGTGCCGCGCTGTGCCGTGCCCATCGAAGCTTTGGCATGTTGGCCAAAGCGCACCATCGATTTGCATGTTTGGCTCTTTCGGGGGTATCGGGTTGGCTCAAGTGCTTAAATGGGTGCCAGGCATTCTGCAGATTGACTGCCGTTCGGGTCGGGATGCCACCTGCTTTTGAATAACCGGGGTAGAACATGAAGGCAGCCGTACCAGAGGTCTTCCCCGATCCCACGTGCCATGCGCTTCACGTCCAGGATTGTGGCGCCGAAAACATGTACGCGAGGCGGGCAGGGTGAGGCCACTGGCAATGGGGGGGAGCAAACAGAATTGCGGAGAAGCATGTGTGTGTGTGTGTGGGCCTGCATGTTTTGTGCTTGGTGGTCTGGATGGGCATGGATTTGAACCCCTGGTTCTTGTAGAGGGGAATGGGAAACCACCCCGAAGCATCACCAAACCGCCGATTCGGCACCAGTCGAAAATGGACGAAAGGGCCGGTGGCTCGGTTGTGAGGTGCAGTCGCACCCTTGCCTAGCCTCAGCGCCTGGCACTGAGAACTCATGAGGAAGCCATCGCCTTGATTCTGTTTGTTGGTTCGGGTGAGTGGCTTGGGATACTTTGGGAGGATACTTTGGGAGGATATGAAGTGGATCTGGGTGGGCTGCACGGCTCAGACATGCTTGATGTGCATTTGTGTTTGTGTGTGTGTGTTTGTATTTGTGTTTGTGTTTTTGTGTTTGTGTTTGAGTTTGAGTTTGTGTTTGTGTTGGTGTTTGTGTTTGTGTTTGTGTGTGTGTGTTTGTGTTTGTGTTGGTGTTGGTGTTCGTGTTTGTGTTTGTGTTTGTGTGTGTGTGTTGGTGTTGGTGTTTGTGTTTTTGTGTTTGTGTTTGAGTTTGTGTTTGTGTTTGTGTTTGTGTGTTTGTGTTTGTGGTTTTGGTTTTGGTTTTGTGTGTGTGTTTGTGTTTGTGTTTGTGTGTTTGTGTTTGTGAGTTTGTGTGTGTGTTTGTGTTTGTGCTTTGTGTTTGTGTTTGTGCGTGTGTGCTTGTGTGTGTTTGTGTGTGTGTGTGGTTTTGCTTGTGTGTGTGTTTGTGTTTGTGGTTGTGTTTGTGTTTGTGTGTGTGTTTGTGTTTGTGTTTGTGTTTTTGTGCTTGTGTTTGAGTTTGAGTTTGAGTTTGTGTTTGTGTTTGTGTTTGTGTTTGTGTGTGTGTGTGTTTGTGTTTGTGTTCGTGTTTGTGTTTTTGTGTTTGAGTTTGAGTTTGTGTTTGTGTTTGTGTTTGTGTGTGTGTGGTTGTGTTTGTGTTTGTGTTTTTGTGTTTGTGTGTGTTTGTGTTGGTGTTTGTGTTTGTGTGTGTGTTTGTGTTTGTGTGTGTGTTTGTGTTTGTGTTTGTGTTTGTGTGTTTGTGTTTCTGTGTTTGTGTCTGTGGTTGTGTTTGTGTGCGTGTGCGTGCGCGCGTGCGCGCGTGCGTGCGTGCGTGGGTGTGTGTGGTGTGTGTGTGTGTGTGTGTGTGTGTGTGTGTGTGTGTGTGTGTGTGTGTGTGTGTGTGTGTGTGTGTGTGTGTGTGTGTGTGTGTGTGTGTGTGTGTGTGTGTGTGTGTGTGTGTGTGTGTGTGTGTGTGTGTGTGTGTGTGTGTGTGTGTGTGTGTGTGTGTGTGTGTGTGTGTGTGTGTGTGTGTGTGTGTGTGTGTGTGTGTGTGTGTGTGTGTGTGTGTGTGTGTGTGTGTGTGTGTGTGTGTGTGTGTGTGTGTGTGTGTGTGTGTGTGTGTGTGTGTGTGTGTGTGTGTGTGTGTGTGTGTGTGTGTGTGTGTGTGTGTGTGTGTGTGTGTGTGTGTGTGTGTGTGTGTGTGTGTGTGTGTGTGTGTGTGTGTGTGTGTGTGTGTGTGTCTGTGTCTGTGTCTGTGTCTGTGTCTGTGTCTGTGTCTGTGTCTGTGTCTGTGTCTGTGTCTGTGTCTGTGTCTGTGTCTGTGTCTGTGTCTGTGTCTGTGTCTGTGTCTGTGTCTGTGTCTGTGTCTGTGTCTGTGTCTGTGTCTGTGTCTGTGTCTGTGTCTGTGTCTGTGTCTGTGTCTGTGTCTGTGTCTGTGTCTGTGTCTGTGTCTGTGTCTGTGTCTGTGTCTGTGTCTGTGTCTGTGTCTGTGTCTGTGTCTGTGTCTGTGTCTGTGTCTGTCTGTGTCTGTGTGTCTGTGTGTCTGTGTGTCTGTGTGTCTGTGTGTCTGTGTGTCTGTGTGTCTGTGTGTCTGTCTGTGTGTCTGTCTGTGTGTCTGTCTGTGTGTCTGTCTGTGTGTCTGTCTGTCTGTCTGTCTGTCTCTCTGTCTCTCTGTCTCTGTGTGTCTGTGTGTCTGTGTGTCTCTGTGTCTGTCTGTGTCTCTGTGTCTCTCTGTCTCTGTGTCTGTGTGTCTCTGTGTGTCTGTGTCTCTCTGTCTCTCTGTCTCTCTGTCTCTCTCTGTCTCTCTCTGTGTCTCTGTGTCTCTGTGTCTCTGTCTCTGTGTCTCTCTCTGTCTCTGTGTCTCTGTGTCTCTGTGTCTCTGTGTCTCTGTGTCTCTGTGTCTCTGTGTCTCTGTGTCTCTGTGTCTCTGTGTCTCTGTGTCTCTGTGTCTCTGTGTCTCTGTGTCTCTGTGTCTCTGTGTCTCCGTGTCTCTGTGTCTCTGTGTCTCTGTGTCTCTGTGTTTGTGTGTCTCTGTGTCTCTGTGTCTGTGTGTCTGTGTGTCTGTGTGTCTGTGTGTCTCTGTGACTGTGTGCCTGTGTGTCTGTGTGTGTGTGTCTGTCTGTGTGTCTGTCTGTGTGTCGGTCTGCGTGCCTGCGTGTGTGTTTCAATGCATGCTCTCAAACACGAGAAGATCTTTCTAGTCAATGCAGCCTCCGTCACCCGCGCATATCAGTGGTCGCGGATTCCTGGGCGAGGCTACTTCCAGCACAAGTCCCATGGGGCCGAGCAACGCCCGAGGCGGGTACTAGGCTGCTGCTGTTGGTCGGGACATGTGCAATGTGCTCCAAGCTGTGCGAAGCTTGATCATGAGGGTGGGCCACACACACACACCGTTAAACAAGCCATCATCCACCAACTTGGCCTTGCTATTGCTACAACCGTGGGTCTTACGGGAGCGTTGGCGCTGCACAGGCTCCTGACTTCTCGCTGCCAGGTGCAAGTGAATGGCTGACAATGCCGCTCAGGCCATTGCCAGGTTGAATCGCTGTAATTCTATGAGCTCCACGTTCCGCGTCCCATGCCGGCATTTCACCCGGACCGGGCGGCCCATGTGCCATGAGCATTTGGCTGTGACGTAATCAGTTGTTCAGAGCGGAGGCTACTTTGACCCGAGGCTTGCCTCCCCCTGCCGGGCACAGGCGGCCAAACAGTGGCATGGGGGCAAGATTGGTTTTCTTGCACACGCAAAGGTCGAGACGCTTAGAAGCCAAGCAGAAAAACATGTCCATCCCAGATTTTCCAGAACAGCCTAAAACAGAAAAAGCACGGCACCAAGCGTGCAACGGCTAAGTATCACCGGGCGCTGTCTTTTTTTTGCCTTAGCTGGTGGCCATAGTATAGCGCGGTCAAATGCTAAATTGGGTAAACCGACCTCTTCATTATTTCCTGCAAAATACAAGGCAGCCCTGAATGCCGCAGACCGCTAGGTTGTTTGATTTGGTTTGCATGGTTCTCACAGAACGAAAATAATTTGTCTAGGCGGGTTGGGGTTTTGTTTTTATATCAGTCGCGACTGCTACCTGCCCAATAAGTCGCAGATTTCCTCCCCGGGCAGAAGCATCTAAAGTTGTGTGGAGTCTTGACTTTGGCGGGTGCGCAGCTGTGCGCATCGCGTGCTTCGACTGCACCTATGGCAGGGGTGCTTTGTTTGAATTCCAGCTTGTCCGGATCTGCTTGAGACAGCCATGCCTTACGAGCTTGGCACGCCCAAACTGAAATTATAGATAGCCGTCTCTCCCAACCCACATGGCTTTCCCCTGTCAAGTTGGTTGCCATACCAATTTCCAAAGCTAGTTGGATAGTCACCCTGAACCTCCCCTGAAGCAAGGTCCTTACCGAGAAGTTGCGCCTTAGATTTGGAAGGAGCAAATCAAAAGTTACCTTTCAGCCCTTGATGCGTAGCTCGGATATGCTCGGAGCACGACAAAGTCTCGGGTTCGGACAAGGCCAAAAAGGCCGTGCCTTGCATGCCGGCACGGCATATACTCCACTTTCGAGCTTTAACTGCTTCGATTGGCTGCCGGTGTCAGACAAAGTCAGCGTGACGTTGGGTCGCAAACTTGCATTACGTAACCTCAGTAGCATCGGGTAGCAGGGTGTATGTTGTTCAAGCAGTGGGTTGGACCAGGGTGCCAGTACCAAACGCAGCGCAGTGCTTTGTATGTTGCGCGTTGTCATTTTCATTTGTGCATGTCCTGCTTGCGTCGATTCTCACGCCATAGCCAATGTGTTCTGACTTTGTCTGCAGAGGATCCTGGAGCTTTTTGCCAACTCCTCTTGGAGATCGTTTTGCTCTGTGTGCCTCCAAAGTTGCCTTCTAGTAAGTTGTCACAATGGAGAATCCTGGTTGCCCGCACGCGAGCTGCGAGGCTTGGCGAATTGTTATGTTGTTATCGTCGCCCTTTGGCTCTAGCGGAGGGCGGGATTCCCAAAGAGCCGCCGGGCTCTCGGCGAATTGAGGGGCAAAACATCATCATAGTCGTAGGCCTGTAGCGTCGGGCCTTTGCGGTCGTGATGTTTTGCAGGGGGAAGCCGAGGGGCATCCGAATCGATGCTCCGAGAGTCTGATTCGCTGACTCTGACGGGTTTGGCTCGCGAGCTGATGTTTTGCGCGCACCCTTCGTTCAGAAATTCTGTGTGTTCCATATGCGTATGTGTTGTTTAGCCGGTTGGGGGTCGGTTTCAAGCAAAGCAGGGTGGACGCCGTGTTTTTTTTTTCTTGGGGGGGGTCTCCCATTTTAAAACACAGACACACACACACACAATCACAATCGCAGACCCGCACGCACACACACACACACACACACACACCCACACACCCACACACCCACACACCCACACACCCACACACCCACACACCCACACACCCACACACCCACACCCCCACACCCACACCCACACCCACACCCACACCCACACCCACACCCACACGCACGCACGCACGCGCACGCACGCACGCACGCACGCACACACGCACACACACGCACACACACACGCACACACACGCACACACACACGCACACACACGCACACACGCGCACACGCGCACCCACGCGCACGCGCACGCGCACGCGCACGCGCACCCACACACCCACACACACACACACACACACACCCACACACACTCACACACACTCACACACACACACACCACACACACACACACACCACACACACACACACCCACACACACACACACACCCACACACACATTCACACACACACATACACACATGCCATAGTGTCATTTGGGCAGTCGACGTAACCCTCACCGATTGTTTGGTCTGAATCTTGGGGTGGCACAGAGGCTCTGTCAAGGGTCACTTCTCGCACGTTTGGGTTCCATCACGGTCCATGAACAGATGGGACAACCACATCCAACATAACGTGGACCCGAGATATGACACATACCCCACATCCAACCTGAATGGTTGAATGAAGATTGGTTTGGTTTCCTTGTCTCATCTAAACGCATTGTTAAGAACGCATTTCGATGAGAAGAGGAAACCCAACTCCTCCCGCGCGCTGGCGGGGGGCTTTGGATTCAGGCCTGTCATGCCCGTGCAACGTACATGGGCGGGTACCAAGCGCCCAGGCGGGGCCTCTGAACCGGGAGGGCCGAGCCATGTGCCATAGGGGAACGGTGGTGGTCCTTTTGCTTTTTGGTTTCCCAGTGTTCCCCTTGAAGCGGGTGAAAAGGCTTAAAGAAAATTACACCAGCATAGACCCCAGATAGCACACCACGGCTACGAACCATGACGCAGCATCATAATGGTTTCCGCGGCATGATAATGATGATGTTGCCAGCTCCTAGTGAGTCCGTCAGCAAAACAATGATGTGGACAGGATGATGCTGATACACCAGCCACAAACGATTCCGCGCTACATATCTAGCAAAAGAAAGGCAGAGACGACGTCCTGATGAGTTCGACAGCATCATGACGATGCGGACAGCATCATGATGATGCTCACAGCATCATGGTGGTGGCAAAGGCAGCATCTTGATCATACCACAGCCACGAGTCATCTTGCGACAGTGTAATGAAATTCAGCATCATCCTGATGTTGACAGCACTATGCCCGCCACCACACCCACGAACCATAACGCGGCGCCGCAGCGATTGCAGCAGCATCATAACGTGGTTGACAACATCATGATGATACACCAGCCACGAACCATTACGCGCGACAGTTAGAGCAGCAACAACGCCCGAATCGGTTCAACAGCATCATGATGCTGCTGACAGCATCATGATGCTGCGGCCAGCATCATGATGATGCGACAACCACGATACCCGAAACAGCACCCGCCCTAGCACCCTGCCATCCATCACCAACACCCGAAAACAGCAGCCCCAGCACCCCAACGCAGCAGCCCCAATAGCACCGCAACGCAGCACCCGCGCCAGCGCCGGACACGTCCCCGAGCACCCTGCCGTCACGTACTGTCACCAGCACCTGAACCTGAACCGAACAGCACCCAAAACCGCACCTGCGCCAGCTCGATCTTGCAAAACAATTTCCCTTCTTCATTAGAAGTCTATAGTTTCCAGCTATCTGGGAAATAAGCCCACGCGGTCGGCTGCACCTCCAACAGCAACACAAAACAGCACCTGCACCACCACCCCAAACTGCATGCCCCCCAGCACCCGCCGGCAATCTCCGAAAATTGCGCCCACAACGTCAGCAGTACCTCAAGCAGCACCCCAAACAGTACCCCAAAACAGCTGCATCAGCTCCCCAAACTGCATGCGGCCATCAATCTTGCAAGAATGCGCCTGCACCATCACCAGCACCTCAAACAGCACCCCAAACTGAGTGCCCCCCCGCTGTCCATCAGCGCCCTAAACAGCACAGGCACCAGCACCGTAATCAGCACCGCAAACTGCATGCCCCCTAGCACCCGGCCGTCAGTTTCGCAAAGCGGCACCTCCACCAGCACCCGAAACTGCATGCCCCCTAGCACCCGGCCGTCAATCTTGCAAAACAGCACCTCCACCAGCACTCCAAACTACATGGCCCCCTATCTCGCAAAGCGGCACCTCCACCAGCACCGAAACTGCATGACTAGCGCCTGGCTGTCAATCTCGCAAAGCAGGACCTCCACCAACACTCCAAACTACATGCCCCCACTAGCGCCTGAAACTGCATGCCCCCTAGCAACCGCCGTCAATCTCGCAAAACAGCACCTCCACCAGCACTCCAAACTGCATGCCCCCTAGCACCCGGCCGTCAATCTCGCAAAGCGGCACCTCCACCAGCACCCGAAGCTGCATGCCCTCTAGCACCCGGCCGTCAATCTCGCAAAACAGCACCTCCACCAGCACCCCAAACTACATGACCCCTAGCACTTGGCCGTCAATCTTGCAACACAGCACCTCCACCAGCACCCCAAACTGCATGCCCCCTAGCACCCGTCCGTCAATCTCGCAAAACAGCACCTCCACCAGCACTGCAAACTGCATGCCTCCTAGCACCCGGCCGTCAAGCTCGCAAAGCAGCACCTCCACCAGCACCCCAAACTGCATGCCCCCCAGCACCCGGCCCTCAATCTCGCAAATCACTTTCCCTTCTTTATTAGAAGTTAGAACCCCTATAGCTTTCAGCTATCTGGGGAAAAAGTTCAGCAGTTCCCTATGGGACCTGCGGGATAGAGAGAGAGAGAGAGTTCCCTATGGCGGCGCGTTTGAAGGGTACCAACACTTCGAGCCACAGGCGCAAAGGCTATGTCAAGGTGTGCGCCTGAAATTCCTGAAATGTGACCGAGGGACGGAGTGCGGGGGTTTGGTAGCCGTGCCAAAAAATTGTGCCGACCACCTGATGCATAAGTTGCAGTGGAAGAAGGGCGGTGTGGCCCCTCTTGTAGACTTCCCTTGCCTACCCAACTTCATATTACAATATCAGTGCCCTTGTTGACGAAGGCGAAGCTTGGGGAGAAAGTCACTGTTCAACCTAGAATGTTGACATCAGTATCTCAGAAATGTTTTTTGCGTCCGTCAATAGCGGCACTGCCAAGCTGAAGCCGCTCTTCTGCCCATTTCTTGACTAAACCCACAAAAAGTTAAACTTTTTGCAGAGGGGTCCACAGCAACCAAGATTGCAATGCGTTGCACCGTTTGGCGCCCGGGACCCATAACGCCTGCAAGCTTCTGCCAGCCCCGCAAGCCGCACACAGAATGACTTGTGCATCTCCGCTCGCTTTGGCCGCTTTGCACATGAACCTGGGAGTCAAAAGTGTTTTTTTGACGGCACCCTCCAAGCGAAACTCCTTTTGTTTTGAAGGGTCAAATACCTGGATATTGGACAAGGTTTGGAAGAATAGGGGTTTTGTACAAATCCGGATTTCGACCTACATCCTTTATTTTGAGGGTACCCATTTCGCGGATTTTGGGGGGGGGGGGTTCATCGGGGAAATGGGCTGGGGGGCATGCCTTGCTCAGGCCCCGAGGCCGCTGCCTCCGGGAAACGGAGGCGGGCCGAGGTACCAGAGGCGGGGTGCGATTTTGCTTCCAAGCCGCGAGGCATCGCGAGGCTGTTTGGGCGAAAAAAGAATGACATGGGTTCAAGTGTGAGGTGAAATCCGGAAGGCCAGTCCCCGACTTCATGCACAGGAATGGGTGCGTGCATCAGAATGTCCCTCAAACGTTCTTGGAGAAAAGGCTGCAGCCTGGCAATCTGAAGCATTGGCCTTTGGCTCGCGCATGTGGGATCACGGGACTAGGTGTTTCTCCAGATGGGTTTCAGGCCCCCTCCAGGTGGTTTTCTTTTGGTTGGGTTGCTAGTGGGTTGTTTGGTTTTGGCTGGTTTAGGCATGACTTGGCATTTTGGTTGCTGGGTTGCTGGGTTGCTGGGTTGGTGCGTTTGTTTGTTTTCTTTTCGTGTTATGTGTTCTTTGTGGACGCCCATGTCGAGAGGTGCCCGCGGGGGTGCGGGCGCTGCGGCGGGCGGTGCACCAGTTCGGGCTGGTGGGCGGTGAGGACTACGACTCCAAGGCGAGTTGGCTGGGACTCAGCGTTTTTGTTCTTCTTCTTTTTTACGCCGGCGGGGGGGGGGGGGGGCAGTTTGGGGAGGCCAACAGACACCAGGCGTGTTAAGCAAATATTTTTTGGGAGGGTCCCGTTTTCATTTGTTGAATTTGGCGAGGCATGCTAGTCTTGCATGCCCACTTCGTTGATCTGAGTGAGAGTGACAACTGAGACCTCCATGCGGCTGACGGAGTGCATTCTTCATGGGCGCCCATGCAATTTTCCCTGAGGATGCCCTGTGGCCCATTCAGTGAGGGGTCGTTTTGGTTCAAGCTCTCATCTATGGCCAATGACCCCGTGCTCATGTGCCCTTCTCAACGCAAGAACGGCCTCAGCAGAGAGCGGAATCAAGCGGCGAATGTTTTCCTAACTTAAGGTTGGAGGCGATCTGCAAACCACTCCAGTGTTAGAGGATTACAGAGGACGCTACTAGTACTTGATAAGGTCAATCCTTGGCCAGTGGAACAACGGGGTCACGGTGGCCGGACACGTGACAAAATGTATCCCTAAAAGAGTTGCAGGAGAGGCTGTTCTCCCAAGCCCTTGTGCTTGCAGGCCAGCATTTTGCCACAGCAAACACAGGAAACAAGCACCAAGCGGCAAGCACCAAGCGGCAAACGGCCTTCTGGTTTGCAAGTGCTGAATGTTGGGTTTTGGCGGAGCCACGTTGCCAGGAGCAGCGGTTGCAGCAGTGGCCCGTCGCAGAATTCAGATGCAAGGCGTGAGGTTCCATTCGTGGCGTAGCATAGCTTCGGCATTGGCTCCAATGGAGAGACGGACGATGCACGGTCAGATGTCCAGTTTGAGCAGGGTGGGTCGTGCTGTACTGTGCAAAGAAAATCACAAGTGCGTACTTTTTGATGGATGTGCATTAAGCCTCGAGTTTCGGTCGTAGAAGTGCGGGGAACAGAGTGTGGGAGGGTTTGGGAATTGGGGTTTGCGGTGAAGGTTTAGTGTGGGAGGAGGGAGTGGGAGGTTTGGGCAGGGTGTTGCGTGGGGGAGGGCTGGTGTGAGGGTGCAGGAGGGATTGGTGCTTTGAGCCTGGGCGGGTGTGAGGGTTCGCAGAGGGTTAGTCCGAGGATCCTGGACCGACTCCCTGCGGACTCCGGGTGCACCTTGATCTTCGCCAACACAGCGGTGCGCTGCCAACGGGGTCTGACGAGTGGTTTGGGATCGCACCGCGCGGATGTGATCTTGCTATCCCAAAAAGGGTGCTACAGTGTAAGGAGCACACCTGCACCTGGCTCGCAAACCGCTGACGGGTGGTGCATTTGAAGGTGAGAAAAGGCGAAACAAGTCTGCGTTTGCACCATCTCTAATTCTAGGGGTTGATTCCATGTCCATTCTTTTCAACCATTGTTCTTTCCAAAAGCCGGATCCGTTTTCCCTGAATTTCTGGAGGTTTCTAGAAAGAAGGATCCCTGGAAAGAATGGAAATGGAAGGTAGCCCTGGACTAATGTCCACTTGATGGATGTGTTCTCCCCCCGTTGGGGCGCAGTCTCAGCGTGCCGCCGGCCCGGTGGCGTCCAGCCAGGCCTCGGTGGCAGCGTGCAAGCGCAAGGCGCTCAACGCGGCCAAGAGCTCCCGAAAGGCTGGGGGTCGTCGCTGGCGGTCGAAGCCGCAAGCGGTCGTGGTGTGTTTTTGGAGCTGACCGCATGCTGGCGCAGTGCGTCTTGTTGGAGCCCAAAGGGCCGTGTTGTTGCGGATGCCTGGGGCCAGTGCCAAATTGGTCAAGGGAGTGTGGCAGGATGTGGTTTTCGGTGCCTGGACCCATGTGCTATGGCGATGTGTTCGGTGCTTGCCTGCCAGGCCGCCTGCGAAGGCCCGAGGGAGGAGCGACTCGTTGTTTTCGGTGCCCCCAGTTATGGCAGAACGCACAACTTTTTTGTTGGATGTTACGCCCATTTCTATAGGGATTCCAAGGTAACTATTACTAGGTCCCCCGGTAGTGCCCTTTACCGTTTCTTTTTTGGGGAAGGGTTTCCCTACTAAAATAGACTGCAGAAAAAATCGGGTACCCTTATTCCAGGTCCTCTCTACTGGAAAACCTAGATTACCACATCCACACTTTGGCTTGCCAAAGATTGCATTGGGGCATGAATTTGGTGCAAGGCCAACCGTGCCGCCCAGGTGAGGAAGAGCCCAGGGCTGAGTCAAAGAAAGCTAAAGGCGTCGCGGTGTCTGACTCCAAAGAAGAGATTAACTTTTGTTTGTTGTCTTCGTTTTGGCGGCTGGAACCAACAACCAGCTACGGATCCAGGAATCCAGTCCGTTGTAATCCCTGATTCCACTCATCAAGGTCTGCGTGATTCTCAGTGGTTAAATTTCGAACTGATCACACGCCTGATTCTGAGCCTGCAACTAGCGTTGCCACAGAGTAGTGCAAATCCGTAGAAAGTAAATGAGAAGCGTGCAGAATGTTGATGACTTTTTGCACGGCACTTGGAGGGCCGGGGGGGGGGGGGGGGGAGCGGACTCAAGTTCAACTTAGGAGCGGTGACCAGGGCCGTTCTGGCACCAGTTGTTGGGGGAATGGAGGTGGGTTTGGGTAGATTCTCACGCGACACGCTGTGCAAGCAGGGTTGTGGAGGCGAATCGTGTGTTAAGGGAATCTTGGAACACACCCCCAACTGAGGGAGCCTGGGCAAAAAAGCACCGGAAAGGGAGTCCAACAACTCGAAACCAGGGTATGCGACCCCCAAAATTATGGTTCCCTTTGGCTCCCAAGTGAAAAGGACGAGCCCCGAGCAAATCTCTCACACGGCATCCTTCTGCTTGCCCCGGGCTGAGGGTCTCCTGGGCCTGCGGCCGCTGCACCTTGGAGAACCCCCAGCATCAGGAGGAGTGCGCGGCCTGCAGCACGAGGCCTCATTCTTCCTTGGGGGTGAGAGGCCCTTTTACCGTTTCTTTTTTGGGGGAGGGGTTCCCTACTAAAATAAACTGCAGAAAACGGGTACCCTTTTTCTAAGCCCTCTACTGGAGGACCTAGGAGATTGTTCGTTCGGTGCGTCTGGGGTTAGTACTGCATTTTGACCTTGTCAAAATCAGAAGATGGGTCTTTCTTCACGTTTCCTCTTGCATGGGGTGTCAAAACATCGAGGGGGTCCACAAAATGGCTGCTGTTTGTTTGGTGGTCACACGTACCCTCCAAGACCCCTTCTTGGTGGGACGCCTCGCCGTTTAATTTTCCCATAGAAATGGAAGGCCCACCAGGACTGTCGTTGAAGCGGTCTTTGAGGACACCCCCTTGGGGAAAAGAAGGACCCAACCATGTGACGCAGGGGTTCCCAATCAAAATTGGAGAATCGGATCTCGCCGTTCCTTTTAAGTATATCTCTTGCCACCTGCGGGTTTTAAGGCCGAAGGCCTGAAAGGCGCAAGGCGACAATGTGGCCCAGTTCCTAGAAGAGTTCGACCCGAAGCCGAGAGGAGCTCCAGACACACCGAGGGTGCTGAAAAATGCTCCCAGAGTCCAAGGGGGTGCAAAACCGCAAAACCAGCAAGTGTCCAACTAAGGGTAGGTGGCAAGCACGTTTGACAGCACGTGATCGGGGCTTGCTTCTTGATGTCCATTGCTTGTGGCTGTTGTAGTTGCACATCAAGATGTTGCTTTCTTCCTTTGCGCCTAGAGCCATTTGATATACTAT